CAGAATGAATATTTGTAATGTGCGAATTGTTGCAAAATTTTTTGATACAATGCGAATTATACGATCTTCAAAACAATGTTAAAAGATGATCTAATTATATTCAATTTATAGCTAAATTTATTGACTGATTTCACGTTATTTTTTTTATTTATAATAACAAATAATTTTTAATATATTTATATTATAGGATTAATTGTTTTATAACTGCAGGTTACATTAGTTGTTTTGTAACCGTAATTAATGTAATTATCAAACTAATTGTTTTTTTATAAAAATAAACTTTGCAATTAAGGTTAGGGTTAGGGTAAGGCTAGGGATAGAAAAGGGTTAGTTTATATCAAAATTAAGCAAGGAATTTTTTTTGTTAGAATGTAAAGAATGGTTTCATAGTCAAAATTTTGAGTTATTAACGTTTTTTTAAAAAAAAAATTTGTTATAAAATTTGATTGGCTTTATTCGATGCGGTTACAGTAACCACTGTTACAAATTTATTACTCCTATATTATAAAGATTATAATTAATTTGTACATGTATAATTTTAATTAAATCGCATTAGTTTGCATTATTTAAAATTATTTTAATTAAATTTAAATGAATCGGAAATATAATTTAAGTACTAATTGTTCTATTTTAAATTTAGTTTAATTCTAATAAATCGATTTGTTTTGCATTAATTTTATTTAAATATTTTGATTACGAACAAATTAAATATTAACTTATCAAATTAAAAAAGTCTAGATTAATTTAGTTTTTATATTTAAATAAGATAAAATTATTCTTTGCTCTTTGTATTAAATTTTTTTCTTCTATTATATTTTACAATCTTAAATTTTTAAAGCTTTTATTATTCAAAATATACTTCTTAAAAATGTCTGACTTCAAATGTACTTTCTGCCCACGTACTTTTGCTAATCGTAATGGATTAGCTAAACATATGTCTAAATGTTTACTAACTTTTGATGAAGACGAACAAGTTTTAGTAAATAAATCCGCTCCAATTCACACTATCTCGAATAAGTCTAATAAAAACAAAAATGAACTTTTTGATAATCAAAATAAATCAGAAAGTAAATTTTTAGCTAAAAAAATGTCATTTAAAGATATCAACTTTCGCAATATTTCGATCCAAAGTAAACAAAACAAAATTATTTCTAATATTGATTTATATGACACATCAGCTGGTTCTTCAGATTTAGTTAAGACAAATTATATTTCTAGTGATTTAGACGATATGTTATTTGAAGTTGATAAAACTAACGTAAATTCGAACTATTTCGATTCTGATCAATCTTCTTATATTCTGGATGATCGTGATGACAGTTTGCATAATAATCAGGAATTTTCTAATGAACTTTTAAATAATTCTGCTTATACTGATAATATTCAAAGCTCTTCAGAAGAGGAAGAAGAAATTAATCAGAAACATGATAAATTTCCTAATGAAGCTTATGCTGATTTAATGGTTTTGGTTACAAAATTTAATCTAAGTAATGCAGCTGGAAATGCAATTATTTCATTTTTTAATAAGCATTCAAATCATAAAAAATCACCATTACCAAAAAATATTAAGCAAGGAAAAGAGTTTATGAATAATATTAATTCTAACTTATCATATAAGAAAACCAAAGTATTAGATCATGATAATACTGAGTATTTCTTATATCATATGCCATTAATCAGCTGTATTGAAAATATATTAGAAATTCCTGATATAGTACAAAATTTAGAATTTGAATATAAAGAATTATCTAAAACTACTAAGGTATATATAACTTTTAATATTATTTTGTAAATACAATATTTATTTTGTTTTATATTAATTTATTTTTATTTGTTTAAAGAATGGTAAAGAAAATATTTATAAAGAGCAAAATAATGGAATGTGGTGGAAAACTACACAAAATACTTTGCCTATAGGGTCAAAAATTTTATCAATTATTTTATATTCAGATGCTACAAATTGTGATACATTGGGTAAAAGTCAGCTTCACCCAATATATATATCACTAGGAAATATACCTACATGGCGAAGAAATAAGCAGGATGCAAAACAATTATTAGGTTATTTGCCAATAATTAAAAAATCTTCTAGTATAACTAAACAAAAAGTTAGACAAACTTTTCATAAATGTTTAGAAATACTTTTAGAACCAATTCGAAACTATTCGCAAACTGGTATAAGTTTGTTAATAAATAATACATTTGTTTGGTTTTATCCAAAAGTTTCGACTATAATCGCAGATTGGCCAGAGGCTGCAACATTTTGTTTAACTTATAAATCAACAAATTCTAAACATCCTTGTCATTTTTGTTTATTAAATAGAGATGATATAGCAAATACAAAATGTTCTAAACATGATTTGGTACTTAGAAATCATAAAAATATGAGAAACTACTTTAATAATGATGATGAACAATCAGTATGTATTGAAAAGATACCAAATTTCTTTTGGAATTTAAAGTAAGTTTTTTTTTATTTTAAGTTTATATTTAATTTAAATATTTCAAATATGTTCGAATTAATTATAATTCTAATAAGTTCAAATTATATCGATTTTATTCGATATAGTTTTAATATATTCAGAATAAATAAAATAATAATTATTATTCTGAATTTAAATATTTCGAATTAGTTAAATTATATATAGTTCGAATAAGTTCGAATTATATCAATTTTAATTGAAATATTTTAAAATAATTTAAATGCAAATTTACTTTGCAATCTAATTAATTTTATATAATTCGAAATAAATCAATTTTATTTAATTTTATAATTATAAAATATATAATATATAATTTAATATTAACTTTTATACTTTTTTTAATTTTAGTGATATTAATATTTATGAAGCTACAGTTATCGATAGAATGCACCATTTAGATTTAGGATTATTTAAATACCAAATTAATTTTACATGTGATCTTTTAAAAGAAAAATATGGTACTTCGATTCTGGAAGTAATTGATAATAGATTAGCTAATATTCCAAGGTTTCCAGAGCTTAAAATTTTTAAAAATGGAATTCAATCACTTGCAAGAATTACTGCAAATGAGTATCGTAATCTTATGAAGGTTATGATATTTGTTCTGGATAATCTAAGTATTGATGAATCTATACAAAAAAAATTACTTAAGCTTTATAAAGATTGGAATAATATGTATATATTAAGTCGAAATGAAGAATTTTCTGATAGCGACTTAAATGATTTTGAGGTATTTAATTAAATTCGCAACCTTGCGAATTAATTTGAAATATTTAAAATAATTAATTAAATAATTTTATTAATAAATATTAATATAGTTTTATTTTATTTAGAATCTAATAATAAATTGGGCTCAACAATTTATTGATCTTTTTAAAACATATTCTACTTCAGAATTAAAGTTTCCAAAATTACATTCATGGATCTATCATACTATTGATTTAATTAAAAAATATGGTTCTTTAAATGGGTTTTCTACTGAAACTTATGAAAGTCTTCATAAACATTTTGTTAAAACACCATATTATTTAACCAATAAACAAAATATAGAGGATCAAATAATGAAAATAGTAAGTATTGTTTAATTTTTTAATAATGTTTATAATATTTTTATAAAAGTTAACTAAATTTATTTATATTAAATAGGTTCAAAGACAGGCTATTGCATCAAAATTATTATTAAGCAAACCCAAAAACTCTAAAACTATAAATTCTTTTAAATTTACTAATTTAATTTGGACATTTGGTTTAAATAATGCTCAGGAATTTATTGATCACAAATTAAAAAATTATAGACCAAATTCTAAAATATATTCTGGGCTTGAACATTTATTAAAATATTTAATTCCATATTATAGTTCAACAAATCAAATTTATATAGATAATTATATAATTCAAATATATAGCTCAGTAACTTTAGAAAATGGATCTATAGTTAGAGCAACAGATAATTTTTATAAAAAAGCCTGGTATAGCAATGTAGCAGTTGCTATGAATTCTGAAGAACTATTTGAATATTTGACAGATGAAGGAATTTGTTATGGACAGGTATTTGTTGTATTTTTTTTTAAAAAAATATTTTAAATATTAAATTTTTATTGTTTAATTTTAGATATATTTATTAATCAAAGTTGAAACAACTAAAGAAAATGCGGATAATCTCGCATTAATTCGATGGTATGATTTTAAGAAAACAAATAATCCATATTATTATGGATGTCCTAGACTTAAAGAAACTGAATTATTTAATATTATAGATATAGAATCAATTAAAAATCATGTACATATAATTCCACGTTTCGATAAAAATAATGATTATTTAGTTAATAAATATATCTTTTAAAATTTAAATTATTTAAATTAATTTATTAAATTTGAATTATAACGACTTAAATTAATTTAACAAAAAAAATATTTTAAAATATATTAGATATTTTATATAAAAATAAAAGTTAAAAACAAATTAATTTAATTCGAATAGTTTCGAATTTATTCAACATAATTAAAAATAGTTAATAAAAATTATTTTAAATTTACTTTAACTATTTTTAAATAATTCGAATAAATTTAGACTTTTCTATATAATAATATTTTGAAGTTTACCAAATATTAATTTGAAATATAAAATAGAAATTATTTTATGCATTAATGTTAATTGTATTTTAATAACTTGAGTCGCAATCAATATAATAGCTTAGGTCAAATTAAATCGAACAAAATCGAATTAATTTGAAACTATTCGAATTAATTCGAATTTATTCGAAATAATTTGAATAGGTGCGAATTATTGCGAATCATTTTTTTTTAAATTTAATTAAAATAATTGATAAATCTTTTTATAAAGAGAAATAAAAATATATTTAATATAAAAAATAAAAAAATAAAAACAAATAAAAAAAATATAAAATTAAAAATAAAAAAAAATATAAAAACATATATAAAAAAAATATTAATACATATAGAAATAAAATAATAATAATATATATATAAAATTAAAATTAAAAAAAAATTTATATTTTATTTGGAAGTTGATGGTAGTGGGGATTGATGACCAGCATCTTCAGGAGGTGGTGGTGGTTGTGAACTTGAAGGAGGTGGAGGCGGATTAGGATCTTCAGTCGTTCGATCATGTTCGGGAGAGTTCGATTTTTCTTGCTCGGCTTCGGTGTTAATTGAATATGTTGGTGATTGTTCAGTAGGGATAGCTACACGTTTTCCCTTTTTTGAACTTCGTGTAGTTATTGTAGATGTGGGAGCCCTCTTACGTTTTCGACCCCGCTTACTTGACGATGTAGTTGGTTCACCTTCCTCATCTTCAGTTAAAGAATCTTCATCGTCAGTAGCGGGGGGGCGAAAAGCAATGCCTGCATCTAACTTATCCTTAATTAATTAAATTTAAAATATTAGAATTAATTTAAGTATATTAATTATAATTAAATATATATTACTTACTATATTTTTATTTAGTCTATTTTTTGTTATTTCATCGCTCATAGTTAGCTTTTCGTAATGAGCGTTAAGCATTATTTGGCATACTGTAATTGTGTATGCCAATTGCAAATTGGTTGGAGTAGTAGCAGGCCATGCTCTCGCAAGTATTCGAGAGAAATAGGTATCATTTTGATCTTCTCCAATTGGAGCGAACAATTTTCGAAAACACAATTTGGTTTTATACGAATTTTTCCATGCCGCAATAGCTTGCGGCGTGGCTGTTGTATTAATGGGATCTAAGAGGGTCTCCCCGAAAACAGAAAAGATGGATTCCTTAATTTTCGAAGTAACTCGGCTTCGACATGCACGAAAATGACTTAATAACTAATTATAAAATAATCGAATTAAATTAAATATAATTGATTTAGTTCGATTTATACAGTATTAATATTATAAGTAAAATAATAAAAAAATTAAAAGCGAATTAATTTAAATAATTTTAAATAAATAAATAAAATTTTAAACATATAAAATTATATAAAAATTAATTAAAACTAAAAATAAAATAATTCTATATACTTAATTGCAATATTTTAAATTCATGCGAACTTATTCGAATTAATTTAATATTTACCGGCTTTGCTAGTTTATCTTCATAAAAAACATTCCACTGAATGTCTTCCATTGACTCATAAAAATCTGATTCGTTTTCTATAAGGTATTCTTCAGCTGCCTCCTTTAATTGTATCTCATTTGGGTATATGTTATAAACTACTAATTTTTTCGCTATGGCCAAACTTATTTGCTATTATAGAAATAAAATATAATTAGCTTAAATTAAATTAATTAAAACATTAAAATTTAAAGAAATAATTACTTTAATATATTTAGTTTCATTAGAAAGATTTAAACCTTCTATCATACGTTTATCCATTTCAGAAATCTTTCGCTCCATTCTATTCACTTTCTCAGTTAGCTCAAGAAGCATATCCTTAATTGTATTTAAAGTAACTTGTTCTTAAATTATTTTAAATAGTAAATTAAGTTAAAAATAATATAAATAGTAAATTAATTAAATAAACAAAATAATATTAATGAATTTTAACCATCTGAAGTTGTTGGAGGAGGAATTGATGTTGAGCCAGTAGATTCGACCGGGTGCGCAGCTGCCCGCTCAGTATCTAGCTGAGTGATGTTTCTACCGGCTGTCATTTTTAAGAATTCTTCACGCCTTTTGGCTGATAATTTAGCACCTTTTCCAAGTTTAGAAGACATGACGTAAATAAAATAAAGGATATAAAATAAAAAATAAAATAAAATAATGAAAAAAATAAAATCAACTAAAAAAAATAGAAAAGTAATACGAAATAGTGTAAATAAAATTAAAACAAATAAGATAAAATCGAACTAATGCGAATTATAAAAATAAAATAAAAAGAAAATAAAATGAAAATAAAAAAAATAAGAAAATGCGAAATAAAGCGAATTATGTGAAAGGATTGCACGAGAATTAGTGATATGAATTAAAGTATAAATTGAAATGAATCAAATAAAATAGAATAAAATCGAAAAAGTTTGATGATAGGAAAAAATAGCGTGAAATTGAGTAAATGTGAATTTGTTTGAAGTCGTTTGATAAGCGAAGTAATTTAGAAGAGAAATATATCGAAATTAGGATGAAAGTGAAAATACGATGAGAAAAGACAGCAAAAGATGGTTTATTTAAGCTTTTTCGATAAAATTCTAATGTAATCATAATATTTTGCAGCACAACTATATATCGAAAAAATAAATTATGTTCGAATTAATTTAATTGTCTTTGATTTATCTAAATTAATCAATTTAGATATAACTTGTATAATAAATGTTTTTGATTTATTTCGCTATATTGTCTTTTAAACGACTTTGTTCTCAATTACTGTCTTTAATAACGATCGATCTAATTCAATTTAATTTGGTTTAGTTTAAACAATGGATTTATCCCGATTTATTATTCATTTACTATATTTAGAATATAAAAAATAATTAATCCGCTTGAAAACAATTAAATACAATTAAAGTAAATTTATCTGCATAATATGCATTATACTAATTTATTTAGTAGCTTTCTAGATTTTTACGTAATCGGGGTTTTCTAAATATGTTCAAGAATAATTGATATGACTGTAACAGACTAATAAAAGAAATTAATCGTTAATCTAATAAACATTAAGCTGATAATATCGATTTAAAGGAAATATCGCGAATAAGATAAATTCAATTAATAAGCCACATTGAAAGATTTAGTTCTTATTAAATAAAATGTAATCAAACTAATTCGAATAGAATCGAATTAAATAAATTCAATTATCAAATATTAATATTGAATTTAAAAATATGTTGAATAAACGAAACTCAAATAACTTCAAAATATTCGTATAACTTATATAATTTAAATTTAATTAATTAATATCAGTTTATTCAGAATGTTCTATATTTAAGAATATTTAAATTTTTATTTGAATTAAATCGATTTAATTCTATATATGATTTTGACTTGCTTTTCATTTTTTGCGATTAAAATCGCACTCTTGCGAATTGTTTTAAAATAATTTGTGATCAGCAAATTATATAAATTCAATTATCAAATATTAATAATAAAAGAAGCTAATAAGAGATGAGTAACTTAAATAGCATTAAAATAAATAATTAACTTAATATATGATCAGTACTGTTATTGCTGTTAGAGAGATGACTATGCTACAAATAGTGATCTGGTAAAAGTATATTAAAGCTCAGTTAACAGTATAATGGTTTAATTGTTTAATTAGATGAATTTATTAAAAGACGCTTGAAATCTATATGGAAATCTATTCACTGTTATTACAAGCTCTATCTTTGACAACTATATTGTTTTTTTAAAACAATGTTACTAAGGACCAAACTTATAACACAACTTAATTTTTCTTTAAATATTAAGTATATAGAGAAACTGTCAAGATTTTTATATAGCTGCGAAAAGAATTGATTTCATATAAAGTGAATGCTGCTTATTTAGCTATGAAGCCCACCTATTTAACAAAGTTTCTTGCCTAACTGTAGATTCCAAAACCAAGGTTTTTTATTCTTACTGCATTCGCAATGTCTAACTGGTAAGGTTCTTGCACTTCTATTGTATTTATAAAAAAGGCTCTTGCACTTTTACTGCATCAGCAAAATTAATAAGGCGAAATATTTCGGAATAATTTACGAAATGTAAAAAAAGCGTAATATTGCGTAAACTA